ATATATATATATATATATAGTCATAGTCAAAGTCAAAGTCAAAAGTATCAGAGCAATATCATAGGTCGTAAATTTGGCTTCTTTTTCTGAATAATTTTTCGACTTTTCATTTTCCAAGTAACAGAATCTTAGCCCTTGCATGTTTCTACTTAACTTTATTTGATCTATGCAAATATACTTTATGGTTTCCCCTCTTTCGTATATATGCATACGGGATCAAGATCTGCCTTCTTTTGATCGCTTGTATCATAAAGATTCTCCGTTTTTTGCTTTGGGTTTATTTCCTGAATCTGCACATTATGCCTGATTGGCTAACTTATTATTGAAGTTCATAATCATAGACACACCACTGAATATAATATTAAGATTTATTTTCGAACATATGAAAACCAAGATGGTATGTTCGCAGTCTCCTTTTGATTTATAGAAGTTAGTTGACCTCGTTTTCGCAACTTGGTCACCCTGACAACAAGACAAAGTTGTGAAAACGAGGTCAATCCACTTTTATAAAGATTTCTTCTCTTTAATTTTATCTATTTTTCTCACACTTACCCATTTTTACTAACCATCATATAATATTACGCAGGATTTCAGCACTAATGTTCTCATAATTTATAGAATAAGTTCATTTTGATATATTAATCAAATTGAACTATCATTTAATAAAAGAGACTTACATTTGGTGTGTTTGTGATAATAGGACCAGAATAATTTACTTTGCAGGCCTTTCCCAAAATATACGATCTCATCCTTGTATTTCTCCCCTGAGTTTTTTTGCTAATCACTCTTAATTCTTTTAATATTCTGGGTTCATTCATAGACTAGAAGAGATAACGTGATGAATAGTATTATCCAGAGTAGTAGAATTAGTCGTATATATATGTAGAAAGAGAGAGTAAGAGAGGTTAATTTGAGGGAGTGAGAAGCTAACTCAAAAGTGGAAAGAAATGACTACAGATCAAACTTGCCTCTGCAATAAATATTGTGTGCATGATCGCATGCACTTCCACGTTCTAAAAGACGCCCACACGCGGAACACTTAAAGCATAGTCTATGGTAGACTTTACACACGGCATCAACTCGCTCGTTCGCATATACTGGCTTATCACAATTGGCGCAAACAACATTAGCCTGGCCATACCGGCTGAAGGGAGTCATCAGCACTGAGTTTCCCTGCTGGTTATTTCTATAATTTGAATTGCGCAGAGACGTGGCGGTAGCATTGTACTGGGATGCGTGGACATGCGGGTAAAGGTTGGCATGAGAGGGTCCGGATGTGCCATTGAAAGGCTGAGATCGGATGCCAAAGAGTTGAGGAAGGGATGGGCAATTAGTAAGCAATGATGGATAAGTAACTACATTTTTGATTATAAACCTAAAATCTACATTAGACTGAAATATGTTCATAAATGTTAAAGTGGAGACAGGTATATGCAGTCAGCAATGTTACAATTTGTTTATGGCACAATCTATAGACATTTTTTTACAAGAATAATCCCATAATTCACTCTTGGGGCATGTTTGAATTGAAAAAGTTTTCGTCCGAAGCTCAACTCATAGTAAAGGTTTTCATTCGTAAAACGCCAATACCCATGAATTGAACATGAACTGAGGGTTAAAGACAAATAGGATAAATGGGAATATAATCCCGATCAGACGTAGGAACTATTATATAGATATCGCATTACAGATAAGGCAATACAGAAAATCTTCTGATGAGGAGGTAGATTAATCCAGTGAGCAAAAAATGTTTCGCAAACCAGCTAAGTAAGAAGATTGTATAGAGAAGATAAGGCACGCGAGTAAAAGGATTAAGTAAAGGCATTTGACTGAATGGACCATAGTATAAAGAAAAGGAGCCTTCAAATAATACTTAGATGAAAAATAAACCACAACAGATCAAAAAATAAGGTATAAATGTCTAACATATATCCATACAAATCATAGAATACCTAAAGTTTTTTAGGTGAAATAGGAAGTTAACTTTGACATAAAAAAATGAAGACTTCCTGCATTAAAATTATAAAATTATGTTCCCGAGTAGCTAAATAAATAAGATTTTTAGTCAAGTATGATGCCTTAATGAGATGTATTTGCCCTATTTTGTTTAAGGTAATGAAGAACTGGTAGTAGAACTTTCGCACAATGAGACGAGTAAATTTGACGTTTCTATTGAAGTTCACATAGCTTTGCTTTCCCAAGAGGTTTTCTTATCCATAGTAGACTGGATTTAAAGTAAGGCTATGTGAAATTCGATGGAAACGTCAGCTATACTCATATCCTTGTGGGAAAATTCGACTACCAATCCTTCAATACCTTAAACGAAATAGGGTGAATACATCTCATATTACTGATTTAGTAGTAGTCTCGAAACTCTACTTATATACAAAATATAATGCTTAACTGAAAGATTTCGGGGCAAGGACCAGTGTGATAATTATTGAATTACAATATGCTCAAAAATATTCTTTAAACCTAAACATTAATATTCTAACAGACTACAGCTAAAAAAACTTATTCTTTCGCCTTGAAGTAATA